TTTTTTTCTGATTGCCTTATTACACCAGTGCTGTTGAAAATCACCCTTTAATAAATGAAATCTGAAAATTGAAAATTTTTTGACCTTGTTATAATTATTAATACAAAGATCGAACACTCAGAAAAAATTCCTTCCATCCGGCCAGATTCGAACCGACGTCTTCTAACATACCGTGCCAGACACTATACCAACTAAGCCTCCTCACGAATTTTTCTATGTGCTTGCGTCGTAACTTTGTATTTGGTTTTTCAACGACTTCTTAGCCGTAGCGCTATCTATGAGAAATCTATGATATTTCGTCACCCAGTTAGATACCTTTACAGCTACCGGCCCCGGGTAGAGATGTCGCTACTCATTGTATTTTAAATTTTTATTTTTTAACCTGTTATGCAAACGCCTAACACACGAAATGGAGGTCAGAGGCACATTTCTTTTTTTATAATAGTACCCACATCTAAAAAAACAACTTTTCAAGTTTGGTTCTGGTCTGCATGACGATATTACCTTAAAAACACTGCCCAGAATACCCACATAAGAACCAAATTTAGGAAATTAGATGAAAATAATTTTCTACTCTATGTGTTAGTTTTCTCTCTAACCAAAATAGGGACCAGGTTATTTGTGTGCTTATCTTTTTTATAAAAATGTTTAATATAAAAACAATTACATTTTACTTTAACTATTTGATTGTCAGGTATTCTTAGCTCCAGTAGCAGAAGGCACACAGCCTGCCACAAGGCTTACAAACAAACTGCGATTGGCGTTTAAAGACTTCTCGAAAAAGTGAGTTTTATTTATTTCAGGACAACCACTGGTAGATACAATAAATCTTAGGAATAAAGAAGACTTAAAAACTCATATAATTCTAAAAGCACTACCTGCAGGTGCCACAACATACAACAAAAAAAACCAAAAAGAAAATGTAAGTGATAGCAGCGTGTAGAACAAAAAAAATTGATTTTAATTAATATTAAATAAAGAAAAATCAACATGATGAGTTATGTTCAAATGGTTTCCTCGTATTTTAGATTTAAAAACGTGGCGCGAATCGTTGAACATATTATGCGGCTTAACGTGTCACAGATGTTGTGAATAAACACAGAACAAAAGCGCCGAATAAGCTAGCTTTCAAGCAATTAGTCCGAGGTTTCATATTCGAGTCTCAATCTACATCCCATTAGTCTATATATAAATATGTATATTAAATATATACGTGTATATATTATATGTTATGTATATATGTGTATATAGGTTGCTTATATACGTATATAATTAGTCATATAATATTATGTTTTATATTTATATTGTGTTTAAACTATATATCATAATTATTTATAAACTTCTTCCTATCTGTTCTAATTATCATGTTATGCACCCCTGTTAATTATTTTGAACCCAGGTCTCCGGTTGACTGGTAGAAAATGTCTAATGGCATTAAGTCCGCCATTCGTACTGTTTTGTGTGCAATTAAGTTTAAATAAATCAAAAAAATTGGGATAGCTCGGAAACCACGAATATTTCTCCAAGTCTATGTATTATCGCATTTATGACAACTAAATACTATACACAGCCTACGACGAGTATAAATAAAATAATAATAAGACATTTATTTATCCACAAAACAGATATTAGCGAACCAATATTAGCGAACAATGAAAATAAAAGAACGGTAATGTCGACAAAAAGGATGAAGACTCAGCATTGCTGATTTTCAGGCATCATCAGCATCTGCATCAGAACGGCTAGCAGAGTGTACACTAACCACTTTAATAGAGGCTGTCTGTGTTGCACTATATATTAAATGTATAAAAATTGAAAAATTGTAATTTAAAAAAATCTAAAATTTTATTTATTGAGTGTTTTTAGGGAGTTTAACCACCGACCAATCGCTACTCGATTTCTGCACAGACAGGAGCCATTGTTTACACATGTTTTTGAAAGAATACAGCCTTGTTTTATTACATATTATTCACATTATATGTGTGTCTGTAGATCCAAATAAACGGTTTATCTATCTATCTTTCGGCATTTTTACAGAGCAATCTTAACTTCCCAAATTTTAACTGCCTCCTTGGCCGAACGGTTACCATGCGTGCCGAACTGCCACGCAGAGGTCCCCGGTTCCATTCCCGGGCCGGGAGAAATATTTGTATGGTCGACATTTATTTCTCTGGTGAGTTTGGGTGTAATTTGTGGTAGTCAATGTGTGTGTCCATGGCATACATGGTTTTCCTAGTGCGGGGCTATGTTGAGTGTGTGCGTAAAAAAAAATCCCCAGCACTTACTTGCTGCGAATCGGAAACTGCCCCTGAACATATACGTTGGCGCAGATATTAAAAGAGATCCGACATTTCCAGATGCCAAGACGCGTTGAAGAAGAACAAGAACCTCATCCTCAGCGACCAACGCGAGTATCAGCGGGAGCTGGAGCGCACGCTGCAGCGGTTCACCGAGCGGCTCGCCCCTCTCGTCAAGCACACCGCTTCCCACGCCGCGCAACTCAGGTCAGGCATCAAACAGACATACCTTTCCTCAGTAACTGCTGTATCTAGTAAGACGTACGATCTTACACAGCTTAAATAATATAACACAACACAAATTATATAGCCCTCACAAAAATAAGAGGCACCTTTTGACACTTGCTATCACAACGTAAATCGACCCCTCCTAAGTAAAATGTCGTATGTCGAAATTGCCAAGTTTACAGGGGAGCGTTTTAAAGTTCTCCGTTTTATTCGGCAAACTCACATAGAGTGATCATCTAACCAATATCTAGGATTTTATAATACTCTATGTGAATAACGAGTTTTGCCGAATAAAACTGAGAAATGCTGAAGTCACGTGTTTTGCTTATTTCAGTGAATTTAGAACTTTAAAAAGCTGTAAACTTGGCGATATCGACATACGACACTTTACGTAGGAGGGGTCGAAATAGGGATTAAACATATCAGTTATATGAAGATTTTATAAGGATTAATTTGTTTTAGGTAACATAGTATGTTTTACAAAAAGAAGCAAGTTTGAAACTGCCAGTGTAGCTACGGTAAAAACAATAAATTTATCTAATGTTCCAAATGTGATTCATCTTGTATGCAAATTCTCAATCTTTTGATAATGTCTTATCTTCATAGAGGTACAAACGTATATAAAAACCATTGACTTACAAATAAATGGACGAAGGGTCTAATACAAAAACCACGAAAAAAATGTCCCAAGTCAACCTATTCGAAATTTAAATTGTAATGTCATCGCAGTATCGCGCTGTCAGTAGAACAAATGAAGACTAAAGCGGAGTGTCGCGCTCTGTATACGATTTTAGCGCCTTACAAGTGCGAACACTTTTTAGCGCGGACCCGACGTCCATATAATTGTAAGTCAATGATAAAAACAATCAAATTAATCGATTCTCACGAGAAATTTTGAATCTGACCGTTTAGATTGTTTTACTGGTCATAAGTTTTCAGTTCTAGATAGAACAATTAACATTTATTTAAGCTATATAGACTTTAATGTAAAGAATAGGTAAATATTTTAAATGGTTACAATGATCACAGTAATGAGTACACAAGGACAACCTGTACTTAAATAGCAAAATTCTGAAGCAAAACAAAAAAGACTTCATACCTAGTTTAAATTTTTATTTACTTTCATCGGAAGATGAGGCAAAAATCATCAGTTGAGCTAGTGTCTCCAATAGTATAGACTTGGTGAAATTCGGCGATTATTTGGTTACAACACTATTATTAAAAAAAAAGATTGAGAATGTAACTGTTTTTAAGACGTTTCGGACTAACTCAAAGTTGCATTTAATTTTGGCATTAGTTCAAAAATATTACTTGGGATATGTTTTATTATTAATATAATGTTTCACTAATATTAATGTAAAAAAAACCAATAAATTATAATTATTTGTTAACTGTTTCATTGATTGTCTTCCTGAGCTGTCAAATTGTCACGACTTGTTCTCAAACACATACTTCATGTCAAATTAGGGCATTTTGAGTACCAGAGCGACAGAATTCACTCCAGGGCACTGCTCTCGAACTACTCGGAACACCCAGACTAGCATCGATTAAAAAAAGTTAATTTCCCAATTATGATCCCACCGAGATCGAACCCGGGACTTCTTCAGCCAGCGCCCCACAGTACACACTGTTGGGCCACCAAGGTCGTCAAGTGAGAAATGGATTAAAACCCGCTCTTTGGGTAAAAACCCGAGCGGGCGGATATGTACGTTTATACCTGAGTCAGTAAAAGTAAAATGGATTACATTTTGAACATTAGATAAATTATTAATACAATGATAGTACACTTAGAATGGAATTCACATTTATTTGCTTGTATTTTTTCAGCAATGGCGTCGGAAAACACGACTACAAATATCAAGCTTAGATGTCTTCGATTGCTCAGAAAAGTTAATTACAATACTCAATTATGCATTTCTTGTATGTGTTATAATATTGTCATTCTAAGAAAATGTGATCTATTCTATTACATTATATTCCTTTAATAGGTATCTATAAAACTTAATTAAAATTACAGAAATACACGCACCAGTACATTTAAAGAAACAGAAAAGAATGGAGAATATAAAGTAGTAACGGTTATATTTAAATAAATCAGCCCCCATAGCATAGCTACTCATGATAGTCGCGACGCGCGCGATAAAATTAGAATAAGCGCGCGCTATTGGCTGTCTCAATAAGATCTAATTTAGATAGCCAATAGCACGCGCTTATTTCAATTTTATCGCGCGCGTCGCGATTATCATGCTTAGCCATGCTACGGGGGCTGATTTCAATATAAAGCTGAAATTAAATTAAAATCTTGTAACATCGACTTACGAGGCTAATTTTGAGGTTAGTTTTTCTGTACCTAATTTCGGTGGCAATTTTTATTATTTAAGTATTTATTAGTATTGTCGTAAAATATTAAAGAATATTTCAACAAGTCGTGGGCCTGGTGGTAAGCGACACGCCTGTCCATAACAGTTGCAGTGTCACTCAGAACATTAAAACGCAAATATCGCAGGGATACTGCCACTGTCCGTCACCCTGAGACATAAGTTGACAAGTCCCATGTGCCTGTAATTTCACCAGCACCCTTAACCCTTCAAAACCGGAACTTTGGACTTGGCGGCAGAAATAAGTAAAGTGGCAGTACTTCCCTGGACGAACTCTTTCACAAGGAGCTTTACTGCTGCTAAAACGTTCGAGTGCAATCTGATTGAAAGACTTTTTCGTTCAGTCTTTGTATCGATAATAGTTTTTATATTTTGTGTTCCGATAAGTGCGCCGGTGTGTGTATGTTATTTTTCAAATCAGTATACGTCTCATTGGCGGACACGAGGCTCCAGCAGTGTTTGTCCAACGGTGCGCCCTACCTGTACGCAGTGTAAAATTACGTATTAATTTGCACAATTTGTATTTAATTTTCCGCCTATTTATTGAATGTATTATTTTACTGTCTTAATTAAGACTGAAATTACTGATATAGGTAATGAATGATTTTTATGATCAAAAATTATGTTTAAAGTACCAAAAATGAGCGAGCTTGTATGAAGAGACTGATTCGAGTGGAGAATGTTAATGAGGTTTGGCAGGAACGTAGAAGTTCATGGTGGCATGATGGTAAGTACTATCACAAAAGTTGAAGCCTTACAAGGTTCAAAACATTTTTGTTTGCAAGTTGAAATTGTCGCTAGACCACCTAAAACGTTTTGTTTAGAATAAAAATATGATTTAGCTCTTAAATGCCAATGATTGACAAGAACATGCAAGCTGTACGTGACCGCTACTGGCCATCATTGCCTTTACGCAAAAATAACTCTTTAGACACAATTTACGTTACTTCGGAGCGGAATGGAAGTGAGTATACAAGCTAGATACGAGACAGTAGTTGCGGAGACTGCGCGAGAATTCTCCGGTAGACACGCGACCTGTTTTTTTTGCTCGTATCTAGCTTGTACGTTCCGTAATTGACAGAAAGTTCGTTACAAAAATTCACGCTTCCATTCCTATCCGCGCGGCAATGTAAACCTAGCCTTAGTTTGGCAAGTTTGCTGATAATATGTGTGTAAAAAAAACATTGGGTATGGTGATAAATGATGTAGGAGTGTGAGCGTTGCGCAAGTTGAAAAAGGTACAGTGTAATAACAGACCCTTGCTGTATGAAATATGACCTAAGAACCGGAATGCTTTGATGATTGGGTCATATGATATTTTCACCATGGGTACTGATAAAGTCGCATAAAAACATACATTCAGTAAGATCGCTAAACTGATGCGTATTACAAAAACGGTGTCCAACCTTTACAGAACGCAGTAAATCTATTATAATAGAAAAAAAAAAAATAATAATAATTTTTTTTTTATAATAGAAAAGGGAATGCTTCCACGATTTTTCCATAAAGAAAAGATAAATATTAGATTATGTGACACGTATTTAAAGAGCGAACGTGGAGTGAAACGGGGAACGTTCGGCCTCGGCGTACATACCTCAACAAGATAAAAAAATTCAAAAGTACCAAGAACAAACGGGCGTAATTGAAGACTGTGAGTTGCGAAAGCGAAGGGTATGTCAGGAAAGTTGGTGGAGGGCCATAAGCTCAATTTACGTAGCTGCGGAATGGAAGGGATATAATCATAGCATAATTAACTTTACGTCAATTATGTAACGTATAAACTAGATACGAGCCAAAATGCGCGTTTTCCGGAGATTGTACGTTACAGAATTGACACAAATGTCATTATGCAATGTACAATTTCGTTACAACAATACGCTTCCATTGCGTTCCGCAGTAATGTAAATGAAGCGGAACTAGTGGAATGTAAAAAAATTATGAGGTTTTTGTTTACCTTCACGTAACAAAATGTTTTATTAATTTATTTTAATAGTTTGTAAGTTGAAGGAGATAAATATGTGCAAGAATGTAACCAAATGTTTGTTGGTAGCTGAATAAGTGAAATGCTTCGTCGTCGTGAGGGTAATTAGCCAGATTGCAATGTCTTTATCCTTGCACATGAAAATGGTTCAGAATATACCGCCATTCCTTTTGTTTTGTGCAATAGAAATAAACTTTTATGGAAGCAAATAAAGAACAATATTGTGAGATTGCATAGATAACTTTAGAATAAGGGTAGTTAAAACCGTATAATCCAATTTATACTATTTAATTATAATTATTTAAGTTACGTAAGTAGGCACTGTCTTGTAAGATAAAAATTACGAACACTTCTAATAAAGTAAACAATTAAACAGCCTTCTTGTTTTTTTTTATTTTTTGCGAAACCATTGGCGCTAGACAAGTCTAGCCAACAGTAGTAGTTCTGCATGCGCAATGTGCAATCGCGACCATGAATAAGTAGAAACAAGACACCTAGAGCATAGTAGTTACGAAAAGTTCATTTCCTAATTTGGTCCTACAGACAATCGAACCCGGGACTTCCTCATCCAGAGGCCAACGGTATGAAACGTTGAGCCACCGAGATCGTGAAATTATCGCGACAGAGCTAATTTAAAGCATAGTTAAAACCGGATACTCAATAATAGCGAAGTTAAGAAGCTGTAACCGTTGCACGTTATGTCACCCAAAATTATAGTGTGTACGTAGTTGGCGAGCGGAACTCGTGCAGTTCGCAGTGACCGACGATCTTAGACTATCCTTCCTCTAAGCCGACGATGATCAGTTACTCATTCTAGCGAGTGAAGACTGTTTCTAGAACCTTCAACCTCGTTACTGTCTGTCACGTTACAGCTTTAGGTTAAATGAAACAAAAAATACGTACGCCAATGTGTTTTATTAAGTAAATTAAATTCTTACGTCCTACGTCACTCCCATAATAACTTTTTAAACGAGAATTTGATATGTCTTAAACTAAAACAACTTATTAAGTTTTGTTTTTGTTTTTCTATTTTACAACTTAAAACAATACATAAAAAGGAATATTGTTAGGCTTAATTTACATTGCCGCGGAATGGAATGCAATTCAAATTTTGTACCAATAATTCTGATAATGAACTTTATGTCAAAAGCGTAACGTACTCATTTTGACTTTATGTTACATAAATGTAAATAGCAAAAGTAATGTAAAGTGGTTTCTCTGATGGACCGAATTTTGAATGAGTCGTACGTCAGAGAACTAAAGTGACCGTCATAGTTCGCAAAATCAGTAAGCTAAAGTGGCAGGGGCCTGACATATCTGCAGGAGGTCGACGAAGGAGATTTATTCTAGAGTGGCGACCACGTCATGGCAAACGTAGTGTAGAACGCCCTGCAGCAAGACGTCGGGCGATCAGAGTAAGATGGCCGGCAGCGGCTAGATGCGTGCGGCACAAGACCGGGAGAGTTGGCTGATGAAGAAAATTGTCCGCGCAGTCTCGGAAATTCCCGCAGCTACCGTATCGTATTTATAATAGTTTACACATTACACAATTGACATAAAGTTACATGCTATGTACAATTTCATCCACAATCAATGTAAATTTAAACTTAATCATACTTAAACACCATGCTATACATGCATCAATCACTCTACCCCGTTTCACTGGTACAAAGATATAAAAGCGCGCAACTAGCATGAGTTCAACAAATCAAAGCAATTTATGTTGACACCCGCGACTTGGCTAAGCTGAATTACCGCCAATAACCTACAATATTGCGTATAAACTTCTGAATATGGTAACCTAGCGTACTATATTACATATATCATATTTTGTAGTATATATTCATCTAAGTATTAATATACACATAGTAGTCGGGAAATAACTACATTTTCGCACCAGGTCACATGAAAACTTCCGAGTACATTCGATTTTTTTACTAAAAAGCCAATAAATTTCGTGTTTATATATATACAAAATTAATAAAGTAAATAACGAAACTATCATAAACGAAAAACTTTGAGAAACATGATAGAGTGTTCCGTTTAGCTCTTCTAATTGGACATAGTTTTGCAAACAATTAAGTTAATTGCAAACAAGAACCATCCGACACATCGAGTGAAATTGAGTTATGTATTTAGGCAGAACACCAGACGTGTCCTTTACCCGCTCACAAAAGATCCTGCCAATAACCAAGCCAAAACGGGGAAAATAAAAGTCCTTCAAGGTACCAACCCCTTAATAAGTAACATGTTAATAGCTAAAAAGAACCATGCTGCTTAATTTCTTATAATGTATTTTTTTAAATATGGTAAATGGAACCATGTCAAATGTACTGAAGTACTGTAGATCTTTAGCGTTTTCATTACGAAAACTAAAACATGGTTCATGAAATAAAGAGATACATAATGTTTTCTATTTATTGCTGTATAATATAATAGATTCCCTATATCATTCTCAATGCTACACATAACTCACGTTGTTTGTTTCAAATAACTTACCTATTTATTTCTTTACACTGGTTTTACAAAAATCTAATTATGTCGAAAGTGACATTTTGTGAGTTGGTTCTAGTTTGCATAACTATGTACAATTACTTGTTATTTTCAGGAAATCTGCCTAACGAATAAGTAATAGTGTTATGTCGATTCTTAAGTTCGATTTACGTTGCCACTGCGGAACGGGAAGTGTAACGAAATTCTCCATAGCACAATGTACTTTATGTCAATTGTGTAACTTCCAAATTAGATATGATACAG